GAAGCGTAACACGAGCTCGGGTGGGGAAGGGGGTCAAATTGACCCTCCGAAGGTTTTCCAGAATGGTTTCCGAACGGCGCGGCGTAGCCCAAATTTTCCATAGCTGTAGGCCATTGAATGTCGTATCGTTTGGTACAAAAAATCAGATGTACCTTGTAAGGTCGCTGACCTATGGCAGGTCAAAGACAGGCCATGGTTTCAATGAAGGCAATTTCTAAGGAATCCTTTAATCTGATCCAACAACGGAGTGTTAGACGAAATCATACATCTCTGAGATGCTTTCTTTGTCAACACGACAGTTGAATAGCAAATTACATTGACCTAAGGTCAGGTATGAAGGTCACACTAAGACCAAAACCAACCTGTTTTGTTACTCTAGGGCTTGCTGTATGGGATAGTTGGGTGCTCATTTCGAATTTATTGATGGTAGGAACCGCATTATGCATCTTCCATGGACTTCTCTGAGGTCAGCATAGGTCATTGGCCTAAAATGGCCCAGGTCAACATTTCGTTTTAGGAACATGCTGCCTAGCGTAGTCTTCGTCGCTCAGTCAAATCCAAAACTCAAAGCAATATTGTATGATTTTGATCACCTTGACCTTCAAAATGTCAAAAAGGTCACTGACCTTGAGTGAGCATGTGACCTGACCTGACAACATGAGCTTAGAAACGGTTATCTGGGTTCTGGGTGCACCTTGGAGACCAACCTGGAACTTAAACTTGTTTGAGCCTTATTTGACCCCAACGTCATGATCTAGAAACTTGAAACTTTGATGTAAGTGAGTTCACGTACAGGTCAACACACCCTGTAAATTTTATGTCTCCAGATTTCTTAATTTCCGAGATCTCAGGGGAGGGGTCAAATCCCCCCCCCCCCTAGCGAAGGGTATCTAACCGGCCACTCGGGCGCGTGATAACACACGGATAGCAGCAACAGGTTTTCCCGAGGCATTTCTGTGTGCGGTACCCCTGAAGAGAAAGTTTAGCCCACAGCGACGTTTGTGGTAGAGCGGGGTGAGACGACAAGCAAGAAATGCACAGGCTGGCTGGCAGTCTCGCGGGCGGCCTTAACTCTGCTTCCGCCAGCTGTTCCCACCAGCTGCTTCCACAGGTGCTCCCGCCCGCTGCTCCCACTATCTGCCACCCGCCAGCTGCTTCCGCCATCTGCTCCTGCCAGCTGCTCCTGCCAGCTGCTCCTACCAGCTGCTCCTGCCAGCTGTTCTATTAGCTGATCCTGCCAGCTGCTCCTGCCAGCTGCTCCGTCATGTACTCCTGCCAGCTACTCCGTTAGCTGACCCTGCCAGCTGCTCCTGCCAGCTGCTCCTGCCAGCTGCTCCTGCCAGCTGCTCCGTTAGCCTCTCTTGCCAGCTGCTCCTGCCAGCTGCTCCTGTCAGCTGCTCCTGCCAGCTGCCCCTGCCAACTGCTCCTGCCAGCTGCCCCGTTAGCCTCTCTTGCCAGCTGCTCCCGCCAGCTGCTCCTGCCAGCTGCTTCGTTAGCTGCTTTCACTCCGCTTGCTCTGCGCAGAGTGGCGCTGGAGCTGGCTGGCTCCTTCTGGTCCCATTCCATTGTTGCGTCTGTCGTCCCCGCTGGTGGCTTGATGGTAGTCTCGGGGGCGCGGCGCTTCTGTGAGCGAAAACAATGGCCGTTTGTAGGCCCCGCTTTCAACATAAATAAACCAATGTAAACGAACGGCGGTTTAATGACGCATTATACACGGCACATTCGGCGCCCAGCCCTGCTAAGCATGCCTGGCAGGTGCAGAATTTGGTGCAGTGCCTTCTACGGTACAGAGTGTTGCGCAGCTTATCAGAAAGAGTATTTAAGGGCCGTCTTACTAGCCACGTGGTGAGACGCCAATGCCGCCATAATGTGATATGCCACAATGCCGCTCTCTCTCTCTCTCTCTCTGACCTCGCACATCGTGTGCGTCGTAGCATTGTTCGCGCGTGCCGGTTGTCAACCGTCTATTTTTGAGCAGTTGGCTATGAATCCATCTGGAGGCGACTGTGATATATTGCTTCTGTCGTTTGCTTCCACGCTGGTATCGTGCGCCGTTGAATGGGGACGCATTTGTATGGGCTCCGAGTGCCGGCCGCATAATGCTGCCGCTGACGTCGGAAATATATCAGCGTGACGCTATTGGGGACAGCATCGGTCAGGCAACCGATGACTGGTTTGGGACACGTGTCTTTTGGACAACTTCATGCGTGTGTGTGGGGGGGGGGGGGCATCATTAATCAGAAAAAAGTCTGCGATAAATGACATGGGAGTGGGGAGTTTGCCAGGCGCGGATCCAGGACTCCAATTTTGCACACATTGCGGTAAATTATCATGACGCATGGGCTTTTCTTCTAATTTTGCCATATAATCTCCTTTGCCATGCCTATCAAGGATGGCGAGCATGACTATTTTGCGCCATGTATCGTGGTGGAGATTCTGCACTGCTTTTCACATGGGTGCGGAGCTTGCCGACATGCCTCGGGCCAGAAACGAAAGGCAG